CATCGATGGGCGTAAACCCTGAATAGCTTATTCCAACTAGATGCGCTATTTGCAATTAGCCAAAAAAGACACTCCGAAATTGTCTTTTTTTTCTCCCCCCTCGCAGGGGCCCCTAGTGCGCACGGGCCCCTGGGCCTGTGCCCATAAGGCCCATTGGTTAATCCGGCCCTGTGTACAGGGAAAAAAATTGATGAAACTGCGAGGCTGCGAACCGTGTTATAGTGAGGGACCACTGAATTTCTTTCTACACACAATTTTGTTTAGTCATTTTTTAAATTGTTTATGAAATGCATTCTTAGTTGAGATTGATAAATTAGCATATTTAGGTTTAGTTATTTTTATACAAATTGTAATTTCCCCTTTTCCTGTTGATTTTTGGGGTGAAACGTGAGTGGGTGTGGGGGGGGAATGCTCCAAGTTTAATGCAAACACTTTATCTTATACAAATTTGATAACGTTGAAGAGCAGTCACCGAACAAAATGTGCTTGAGCAGGACTTGGCTGGGTTTGGTCTTTGCATTCCTCTGTCCAGAGCAGTTCACCGTTGTGTGCCTACTGTTGGTTCAACCCCAGCCAACATCTCTGTCCACACCCTGATCCTCCCCCCACCGTCTCTACCCCTTTTGTCCAGGACGCATTGCACTAAAGGTTGCATAACATGTTTTTCAGCCACTAGTAACGACTGTTGGGTACAGTAGATCTTTAAGCACAACAGACAATAAAAAAAAGCTTTAAAGGGATTGTCCACCCAAACATGTAATAAACATGTCTGTAAATTTGTTCCAAAGCTGTTTGACTTTTTTTTTTCTTCTTCTTCTTCTTCTTCTTCCACTGAATGAAAAAGAAGATATTTAAGAGTTGCTAACATTCTTCAAAATATCTTCATGTGTGCTCAACAGTAAAAAAAAACCAAACAAACGAGTGAGTCTGTGAGTGTAAAGATATTTTGGGTGAACTATCCCTTTTACAGTGTTTAACTAATAGTCAAACCAGTTAAGCTAGCGCCATGTGGTTGTTTACAACTTTTCAAAACACGAATTTGAACTTTGCTACATGGTGAAGTCCTTCTGGCCCAAAAATAGAAATTGTCATCATTTACTCGCCCTCCAAACCTGTTGAATTTCTTTCTTCTGTTTCTACTCCACACTCTCATGTTTGGAGAAGTTGTGAAGGACCACATGGTGCTAAGATAACTAGCACTGCTTTGGTTTGTTCATTTACTGAAAGCTTTTAAACAGTTCTCTCACAAATTAAAATATAAGTTTACTCACTGCAAAACACGTACCGAGTTTCTTTTTCCTGTTAGGCACAAAGAACTTTGATTAGCCATTGACTGTTATAAAAATCCTACTGTGCATGTCAATGGCAAATTGCAATATTGTTCTAAATAAATTTGTGTTTAAGAAAAAAAGAATATTTTCATTTTTGGGAGACATTCCCCTTTTAAAAGCATTTAATTCATAAACAAACTAAAGCAGCACTATTTAGCTTAGCACCATGTGGTTGTTTACAGCTTCAAACACATTTTAAAGTAGATTTTGTGAAACAAAATAAAAGATCGTCCCAAGCATGTGACTAGCTTACAGTTTCCAACCCCTTCTAAATATCATTATAGGTGTTTAATAGAAACAGAAAATCTAAAATGCTTTTGGGGAAGCCGATGGTGAGTAAATGGTCAGTATATCCTTTATTTTTGGGGGGAGAACTACCCTTTAGTGTTTAATTCATAAACAAACCAAATGCAGCGCTAGTTAGCTTAGCACCATGTGGTTGATCATTGCTTCTCCAGAATTACACTGTGGATTCCCTGTGATCCAAAAATATTTAAGCACATTTTTTAAAAGGTAGATTTTGTTTAAAAAGTAATAATAATAATAATAAAGATTGTCCTACTGAGCATGTCACTGGCTTACTGCCCTTCTGGGAAAAGACAGCTTAACCAGCCAAGGCTTGTTGGTTGTTTTTTAGCTGGCTAACCAACCTGGTTTTAGAGGAGTTTTGGCCATTTCCAGGCTGTTTTCCAGAAATTTCCAGCCTCGTCTTCGATGGTCAGGCTGGAAAATAACCAGCTAAAATCAGCTTGACAAGCCTGGTTTAGGCTGGACATAGCTGGTTTTAGCTGGTCAACTCCCAGCCTGACCAGCTAAGACCAGGCTGGAAATGCCTGGAATGGCCAAAACCCCTCTGAAATCAGGCTGGTCAACCAGCTAAAACCATTCTTCTCCTCATGTCATTATCTGTGTTTAATGGAGAAAAATAATAAAAAATTATTTGGAGTAGCTAATAGTGAGTAAATGATTAGTTTTTTTTTCAGAAAACTACCCATAAGCTTTTCATTCATAATCAAACAGAAGCTGTGCTAGTTAGCTAGCACCATGTGGTTTTTCACAGCTTCTCCAAACATGAGTTTGAACCTTGCTACATCAAGGAGTCCCCAGGGCCCAAAAATAAAAAAATTGAACCTGTTTGAATCTTCTTTCTTCTGTTTCTACTCCACAACTTCTTACAAAACATGTGAATAACCACATGGCACTAGCTAACTAGCATGCTTTGGTTAGGCTATGAATTTAAAGCTTCATACTGCTTCAAAACTTTTGTAAACTTTTTTCCTGTTGAACACAAATCAAGATATTGTGACAGATTTTTAAAAGAGTTTGTGAAAAAAATAAAAGATTGTCTTACTAAGCCTGTGACTGGTTATTTCCCTAAATATCACTATCTATTTAATAATAGAAAAAGTACATCAAAAATGTTTGGGGAGTGAGTAAATATTCAGTATATTTAATTTTTTTGGGAGAATTACCCTTAAGCGTTTAATTCATAAACAAACCAAAGCTGCGCTAGTTAGCTTAGCACCATGTGGCTGTTCACAGCTTCTCCAAACATGCGGTTGTGGAGTCGTGGCTCACGTGCAGACGCTCTCAGATTTCCTGGAACTAAACTGGGAGGTGCTGATCCAGCAATCCAGTTCACCCCATTTCTCATTGTAGGAGACAGTGCTGCCTTTTTACATGCAAAATGACAAACGCTTCAGTCTTTGTTTACATTCTGATAGCACGGACATGTGAAGTGGCTATCGTTCTGCTATCTCGCTTTTGTTTTGTTAAATAGATTACAACTGCTGTTCACTTGATTAAAATGACAAAAAAATCAAAGTTCAAGCCACATTTGCTAAAACATTTGGCTTGTTTTTGTGCATGTTTTTCCTCACATAAGAAAGGCTACATAGTAATATAATGTCTTGGTTCACTAGTTTTATATTTGGCATTTTTTTCCTCTTACCCCTGCCGAAAAATCCAGCCTAAACCAGCCTAGGCTGGTTGGCTGGTTTTAGTTGGTTGACCAGCCTGGTTTTAGAGGGGTGTTGGCCATTTCCAGGCTGGTTTTCAGCCATTTACAGCCTGGTCTTAGCTGGTCAGGCTGAAAAATGACCAGCTTAATCCAGCTAAAACCAGCTTGACCAGCCTGGTTTAAGCTGGACATAGCTGGTTTTGGCTGGGCTCTCAGCCTGGCTAGGCTGGTCAAGCTGGATTTGGCTGGTCATTTTCCAGCCTGACCAGCTAAGACCAGGCTGGAAATGGCTGAGAACCAGCCTGGAAATGGCCAAAACCCCTCTAAAACCAGGCTGGTCAACCAGCTAAAACCAGCCAACCAGCCTAGGCTGGTTTAAGCTGGATTTTTTAGCAGGGACACAATGAAGGGCTGCAGAAGTAAATGTAAAAACGCATACCTGGAAAGTTACTCTATAGGTCAACCCATTTACAAGCCCTTGTATATATATTCTACCAGTGGTTCTCAACCAGGAAGGCTACAGGATAGGAGAAAAAAAAACAGAAAAAAAAAATAGCAAATTTGTGATTTTTTTTTATTTATTTTTTTTTGGATTCATCGGATCTATTTTTGCTACAAAAATAAACTTTAACAGTTATTTCATCAAAAATATAAGTGACTTAATATTATTAACTTGTTTGTTGAACTGTCATATGAAATCAGTGTCGCATTTTCAATCTTGAGGGGATTATATAAAGTGGTATATTATATATGGTATATTAAGTGATGGTCAGTTGTCAGCCCTCTTGGTCGTCAGGTTGTGTGATGTATGTTGCTGAACGGTATTCAAATGTTATAAATCACAAAACACCACATTTTGAAACTGAACTGCAGTATGTCAATTTAGTTTATTTGTGTTTGCTGCGCTCAGAGACTTTAGTAAACGGCGCTCATTTGTCTTAATTCTCCTCGAGAAGCTGTGCAAGCCTCAAAGGTTTAAGGTCCTTGCACCCTGACTAAGTGCGAAACTGTCGTATTCGTTTTTTCATATTCGTCATGTGGCTCTCAATTGTCTAAAACACCCCACAAAATATTTGCTACAAATGCGAAAAATGCAGAAAATCGAACCATCCGAATAAATTTTTATGACAGACAGAAGTTGCAGAGGCTGCAAACATAATAACGTGAGGTCGTATTTAGTTTATATACATAAAAAACGAATAAACTAGTCAGAATATAGGCTACAGTAATGATCATAGACCTACTAATACTCATGATAATAATAATAATAATAATAATAATAATGTGGGCCTAAAAACATATCTATCTGTCTGTCTTCCTTCAGTTCATCCATCCATTCGTCCATCCTCCACTTAGTTGTTCTGTCTATCTGTCTGTCTGTCTGTCTGTCTGTGGTGGTGGTGTTTGGGGGGTGGGGGGCAACTGCAATGAACCAGTTTGGGAGGTTTGCAAAAGGTTGAGAACCCCTGTATTATACCATTAAACTTTTTTATAGTGATTATTTTTAGGAAAAATATATTTAATAAGTATATTTAATTGAAATCAGACTGTTTGGATGATGTAATCTTGCTGTTTTGACTTGAATATAGCTGTTATCATTGCTAACACGACATTAAATCTTAAATAAATCTGCAGTGTTTAATGTAAATATATGCATTTTTCTAATCGTGTGATTGGCTGCTGCAATAAGTGTGCTCTCCCTCCTCCAGGAACCAGGATCATTTACGACAGAAAGTTCCTCCTGGACTGCAGGAACTCTCCGATCGCCCGGACTCCACCCTGCTGTTTGCCCCAGATTCCAGGAGTGACCATTCCTTCACTCCACCCCGTGTCCAAATTGCAGGAGCTCAAAGAGGAACTGGAGGAGGAGAAAGAGCTGGCAGGTAAAACCGCTTTCTGCTCCAGAAAAAAAAAGAAAGTGAAAAACAAACAATCTGTTCTGTCTGCAATAACATTTCTAGGAAACGTAAAGTTCTCCAGGCTTCTCCTAAAACACATTATTTTCACAGTTAATCAGTTAGTTTCAGTGCTTAAACACTATAGAAAATGGTTATTATTGTTCTATAATATAAATTAAGTAATATATAAGAGATAAAGGATCTCTCTTTTAAATGAATACTTTCCATATGATGCTATACAATATGATTTTTGTGTATATAGACATTAGATTAGTCAGTAACAAAGCCAAATCTAACAATATCTTAAGATCACAGTGCAAAAGAAACTACTGCACCCCAAAGAAAATGCTAGAGAATAATATTCAATACGATTTTAATAAAGAGGAAGAACTAAGAGGACCATATCATTTATACAGTCGTCTGTCTATCCATCCATCCATCCATCCATCCAACCAGCCAGCCATCCATCTATCTATCCATTGTTCTATCTATCCATCGTTTTAGCTATCATTCCAGTCATCTATCTATCTATCTATCTATCTATCTATCTATCTATCTATCTATCTATCTATCTATCTATCTATCTATCTATCTATCTATCTATCTATCTATCTATCTATCTATCTATCTATCTATCTATCTATCTATCGTTCTATCTATCTATCGTTCTATCTATCGTTCTATCTATTGTTCTATCTATCCATCGTTTTAGCTGTCATTCCAGTGATCTATCATCCCATCATCTATCTATTGTTCTATCCATCTATTGTTCCATTCCTCAATCCATCGTTCTATGCATCTGTCTATTGTTCTATTCATCTATCATTCTATATCATTCTATCCATCCATCCATCCATCCATCCATCATTCTATTCATCTATCATATCACCTTATCTATCATTCCATCCATCAATCCATCGTTCTATCCATCCATCCATCTATTCTATTCATCCATCACTCTATCCATCCATCTATTCTATTCATCCATCACTCTATCCATCTATTTTATCTATCATTTCTTACAGCTGGATTATTGCTCCATCCATCCACTGTTCTATCTCTCTATCATTCCATCCATCGTTTTATCTATCATTCCATCTATCGTTCGATCCATCTATCTATTGTTCTATCCATCTGTCTATTGTTCTATTCATCTATCTAGCATTCTATCCATCCATCTATCCACCAATCTATTGTTCTATCATCTTTTTTCTATGCATCTATCTGACGTTCCATCCATCAATCTATCGTTCCATCCATCTATTGTTCTATTCATCTATCATTCTATCCATTTATCTATCGTTCCATCCCTCTATCTATCATTCTATTCATCCATCTACCGTTCTATCCATCCATTCACCAATCTATCGTTTTATCATCTATCTATCTGACGTTGCATCCATCAATCTATCGTTCTTTCCAATTATCTACTGTTCTCTATTCATCTATCATTCTATCCATTTATCTATCGTTCCATCCATCCATTGTTCTATTCATCTATCATTCCATTTATCTATTATTCTATCCATCTGTCTATTGTTCCATTCATCTATCATTCTATTCATCCATCTACCGTTCTATCATCTATTTTGCTATGCATCCATCCATCTATCCATCCATCTTTTGTTCCATCCATCCATAATTTTATCCATGTATCTATCGTTTTATCATCCATCTATCTATAGTTCTATTCATCGACTGTTCTATCTAAAGTTCTACCAATCAATGTATTGTTCTACCGTTCTTTTTATTGTTCTACTGTTTTATCTATCGGTCTGTCTAAATGATTGCATTACGCTTTGCAATATTAGGTGTAGATGCAATAAAATGAGAATTTCAGGGAACTGCGTTAAATGCCCTCATAAAAAGCATAATAATATTAATAATAATAATAAATTTTTTGAAAAGTCGTTGCAGCAGTTAAATACAAAAAAATATAAATACAATAAAATGTTAATAAATATAATCAAATTAATAGTACATTTGAATAACTTTCTTATTAATAATACAAATTTAATTTTTCTGCAAAACTATTTTGTTAAATAAGATGTTGAAGGGTAAAATGCTCTAAAGTATGCGTACAAAGACCTCGAGCTTCTAAACCTTCAACAAAAAAAACAAAAAAAAAAGATCTCCTTAAACAAATCATGCTATTTGTTTGTAGTGTAAAGTCTGTTTGAAACCCTAATCAGTCTCTTTCTTTCTTTTTTTAGCTGACGACAGCCAGTTTGAGATGGACATCTGAGTGTTTGTTGTACCTCCTGTGGAGATTTCTCTGTTTTATCAGTGGAGATGCTGCTGTTTTTCTCTCACAGTCAGCGGACATCACAGATTCACCACATTTACAGGGCTTTTCATGAGCCGAACGCTGTATTATTAATTTCTTTCAAAGTATTTGTGAGACGTTTACCAGAAGAAGAAACATGATTCTTTATCAGTGGCGGTGTTTAAAAACCTTTATTGTACATATGGTACTTTCTACTTTCTTTCTCTTATTTTTTTTTTAAAGAAAATGTAGCATTGTGTGTAAGCCGGGGAAAAAAACAAACCAAAAGGCCAAATCTCTCATTTCTGAGCAATATATCTCAGCAAACATAGATTGTTGAACGGTAAAGGCTGAATACGTGCCAAATGAATGTCTTTTTTTTTTTACATATGTTTGGTGTTTCGCCTTAAAAACAAGAAAGCACATCAGAACATGAAATATTCACCACTGTGTGCCCTCAGGGGTTTCCTGGTGTTTCGTTTGCCTGGATTTCCTCAGGTTTTATTATTTTGATTTGAAATAAAGAAACAAACAAATACTTGTCCTGTGTTCTGTTTGGAGTTTGTGCAAAATATTAGGATATTTTATTTGGGTTTTAGAGTTGCAATCGAAATCGTATCTATTGCTAAAACTACATTCAATTCAGCTTTATTTGTATAGCGCTTTTACAATGTAGAATGTGTCAAAGCAGCTTCACATAAATGGTCATAGTAACTGGAACAGTGTAGTTCAGTTTTAAGTGTTTAAGTTCAGTTCAGTTTAGCTCAGTTCAGTGTGATTTAATCATTACTGAGAGTTCAAACACTGAAGAGCAAATTCATCGATTCGTAGCTCTACCAATCCTGAACTATGCAAGCCAGTGGCGACAGCAGAGAGGGAAAAAAAACTTCAACTGATAGGAGAGTGAAGAAAAAAACCTTGAGAGAACCAGACTCATGGGGCACGACCATTTTCATTTCACAACTATTTCATTTCACCACCATTTTCATTTTCATTTCTCCGTTGGCCAAAAGTCTTGTGCAGTCACTGCGGTGGAGGCTGGAAGCTGGCCTCAGCGAAGACTCGTCTGTCCCTGGAATCAGACTCATGTTCTCAACTACATGGGACGTCTTTACAATAACAGTACATGAATAATGATGATGTATCAAGATGTAAACTAAACATTAGGTCCCACTTTATATTAAGTGGTCTTAACTACTATGTACTTACATTAAAAAAATAAATACAATGTACTTACTGTGTTTATAATGTATTTGAGAACACTTGTGGTGCATTTGAGTTGGGATAGAGGTTGGGTTATCGACAAGTTTGGTGGCTTGGGTAGGTTTAAGGGTGGGTTAAGGTGTAAGGGATGGTCAACAGTGTATTTACAAATGTAATTACAAAAGTTATTCACAGATGTAATTACATAAATGTATTTAATCACGCATAAGTACACAGTAAATACATGTATTTACACAATAAGTACATTGTAACAAACTATTAATTCCTGTGTAAGTACTTATTAGTTAAGGCCACAATTTAAAGTGGGACCAAACATTAGTTTATTATGAATTAATGATGAGTTAAGGTATGCACTAATCATGAATTAACTTTAACTACAACACGAGTCACATGAGTTCATGTGTGAATAACAGCTACCTTAATTACTTGTTAGTACATGATTGTTTGTTAATTAATGTATTAATTACCACATTAGTTTATGCTTAATTTAACCATGATGAACTCATGATATGTTAATGTATAATAATGTTGTGACTTTACTTGGAGGGGACCATCATCAATAACCCATTCTTAACTACTCATGAACACCTTACGCACGTCCAACTAGTGAGTTTACACTGAATAACGATAGAGAAGTGTTCTGTCAACATCTACATGAACAGGAGTTCATGAGTAGTTGAGGATGAGTTGATAGTGATGTGCCCCTCCAAGTAAAGTCATGACATAACTATACATTAACAGCTCATGAGTTCATGTTGGTTACATTTAGCTTAAACTTAAATGTTAATACATTAATTAACAACATGTACTAACGAGTAATTAAGGTAGCCGTCATTCACACATGAACTCATGTGACTCGTGTTGTATTTGAGAACACTTGTGATGCATTTGAGTTGGGATAGAGGTTGGGTTATCGACAAGTTTGGTGGCTTGGGTAGGTTTAAGGGTGGGTTAAGGTGTAAGGGATGGTCAACAGTGTATTTACAAATGTAATTACAAAAGTTATTCACAGATGTAATTACATAAATGTATTTAATCAAGCATAAGTACACAGTAAATGCATGTATTTACACAATAAGTACATTGTAACAAACTATTAATTCCTGTGTAAGTACATATTAGTTAAGGCCACAATATAAAGTGGGACCAAACATTATTATGAATTAATGATGAGTTAAGGTATGCACTAATCAGGAATTAACTTTAATTACAACATGAGTCACATGAGTTCATGTGTGAATAACAGCTACCTTAATTACTTGTTAGTACATGATTGTTTGTTAATTAATGTATTAATTACCACATTAGTTTATGCTTAATTTAACCATGACGAACTCATGATATGTTAATGTATAATAATGTTGTGACTTTACTTGGAGGGGACCATCATCAATAACCCATTCTTAACTACTCATGAACACCTTACGCACGTCCAACTAGTGAGTTTACACTGAATAACGATAGAGAAGTGTTCTGTCAACATCAACATGAACAGGAGTTCATGAGTAGTTAAGGATGAGTTAATAGTGATGTGCCCCTCCAAGTAAAGTCATGACATAACTATACATTAACGGCTCATGAGTTCATGTTGGTTACATTTAGCTTAAACTTAAATGTTAATTAATACATTAATTAACAACATGTACTAACGAGTAATTAAGGTAGCCGTCATTCACACATGAACTCATGTGACTCGTGTTGTAGGTAAAGTTAATTCTTGATTAGTGCATACCTTAGCGCACCATTAATTCATAATAAAGTAATGTTTAGTTTACATATTAATACATCATTATTCATGTACTGTTATTGTAAAGTGTTACCAACTACATTTCTGTTTTCAAAAAGAGCTTTGTCCTAATGAAATACAACATTAGGGCTGTCATGGAACAGGACAACAGCAATGATGTCATAATGTAAATTATGACTTGAATTTAATGACTAATTGCAATATTTGCTATGAATTAGATGTTAGTCTATTTAAAAATTGTAAATGTTATGTGATATCAAAATTTAACTTTTGTATATGATTATTATATGGTATGGGTGTGTCTATATACACTCACTGGCCATTTTATAAGGTACACCGGATGGTATGCCTTTTGCCTTCAGAACTGCCTTAATCCTTCGTGGTAAAGACAGTGGCGCAAAAAGCGGGTATGCAGTATATGCGGCGCATAGAGGCCACACATGAGGGGGGGCGCCATTGTGCCAAAACTATTTTTTAAATTATCTTTATTAAAAAATAATACAAATAATAATATTATTATATTATCAAATAATAAAAATCAATAAATATGTTTTGTTAAAAAACATTATTTTGCATTTTATACGAATATGATATTGTTATTGTTTAATTCAAAATCATTTAACACAATACCATGCAGTCACACAGCCTAAAGTGTTCATGTAGATGTTTAGATTTGTTTTTATTTTTATCAAAATAAACTGTCAAATCATACATAATGTCAAAAGTTATACGATTAATCTGAAAATTTGTCTTCATTTATTATTAATTGATTAATTTATTTATTAGTTTGCCAAAATAAGAGGGATCACACAAAATTTGAACCCGCATACCCCTCAGTAAATGTGTAGTTGCGCCCCTGGGTATAGATTCAACAAGGTACTGGAATTATTCCACAGAGATTTTGGTCTATATTGACATGATAGTATCATGTAGTTGCTGCAGATTTGTCAGCTGCACATCCATGGTACGAATCTCCCATGCCTCCGCATCCCAAAGGTGCTCTATTGGATTGAGCTCTGGTGACTGTGGAGGCCATTTGAGTACAGTGAACTCATTGACATGTTCAAGAAACCAGTCTGAGATGATTCACGCTTTATGACATGGAGCGTTATCCTGCTGGAAGTAGCCATTAGAAGATGGGCACACTGTGGTCATAAATGGATGGACATGGTCAGCAACAATACTCAGGTTGGCTGTGGTGATGACATGATGCTCAAGTGATACTAATTAGCCCAAAGTGTGCCAAGAAAATAACCCCCACACATTACACCACCACCACCACCCTGAACTGTTGATACAATGCAGGATGGATCCATGCTTTCCTGTTGTTTACACTAAATTCTCACCCGACCATCAGCAGAAATTTTCACTACCGTTTCAGCAGAAATCGAGACTCAACAGACCTGGCAACGTTTTTTAAACATTCTATTGTCCAATTTTGGTGAGCCTGTGTGCATTTAAGCCTCAGTTTCCTGTCCTTAGCTGACAGGAGTGGCACCCGGTGCTCTTTTGGTGCTGTAGCCCATCTGCCTCAAGGTTGGACATGTTGTGTGTTCAGACATGCTCTTCTGCAGACCTCTGTTATAATGAGTGATTATTTGAGTAACTGTTGTCTTTCTTTCAGCTGGAACCAGTCTAGCTATTCTCTTCTGACCTATGACATGCCTAAATGCATTGACTTGCTGCCATTTAGGCTGATTAGAAATATGCGTTAACAAGCAGATGTACATAAAGTGGTCAGTGAGTGTATATATTGTAGCCTATTTAATATTAGCAGTGAAGTAAAAGAACTGATAAATTTAGTGACAACTTCATTTTCTCAGACATCAGACTTGCACAAAAATAATCGTTTTTTTCTTTATTTACAAAAAAGCATTTAGCTGTGTCAGCTATGGATAACAAATGTTAAATAATCTTTATTTGCGATATGAATTTGCAACACTCTTAGACTGATTAGCATTAGCATACACACTATTTGACAAAGAGATGAAAGACACTTTAATGAAAAAATAATAATAATAATGAGAGAACTTTAAATAAATAGAACTATCATTTTCAGTTATCTTCTAGAACAGTGGTTCTTAAACTTTTTTCATCAAGTACCACCTCAGAAAAAATTGTTTCTCCAAGTACCACCAAAATGAGCAGTATTGAAATACAGTAGCGTAGTAGGCCCAATAAAGCAGCTACAACTCTGCAGTTAAAAAAAACGTGGCAGATTACCTCAGAAATATAGGCTATATGTCATATATGGCATATTATATCCATCATTTTTGATACATTTTGAAATGTGTGTGGCATGTACATGACATATTTCATTCCTCCGCGTACCACTAAAGGAAGCCTGCGTACCACTTGTGGTACACGTACCACAGTTTGAGAACCACTGAACTAGAACGTTTGAAATTGTGGGGGAAATCACTTCAGACCTTCAACAGGTTACCAGCTTCATGAAAACAAATCTGGAACGGAAAAGTTGCAGCTGCTTTAAATAGAAATCCAGCGAAAGCAGAAGTGAAAGAAGCGTCAGGTGGGAAAATCTCTTCATCTCAGGGTTTGTCTTCATCGACGTACATTTCTTCAAAACAGGTATAGCGAATTAGAAAATCTTCTCAACGGCTATAAAACACTCCTGGCTGACCTCCATGACCCTGCAGCAACCTATTTACTGTAGTTAGTCTTAGTGGTGGACAAGAAAATAATGCTTTCACTTAATCGTTTAGGCTATAAGTTACACTTTACTGTCTCTTTCCCGCCCCGCGGTTTTAGAAAAAAAGTTTTCAGCATTTCTGATGTGATTTGACCGCCCTCAGATTACAGTATACAACGAAATAATTAATCAAGCCTCTGCAATCGAGAAAAAAAGAAAACATTTATTCGTGTTTACGGTGTGTGTCTGTTTTATCAGCATATCGATTTAATCAAAAATAATTTGACAAAACAAAAAAAAAAAATCATTTTTGGCATTCTTGCAATGTCATTTTTCAAGATTATATAGTAATAAATAGAGATGAATATACAGACAGTACATCGTTGTCGATTAATTGAAGATATAGTGCGCATAATCATCTGACAGCATATCATCACTTGGAATCTTAAGTTGTATTTGACATTTTTATATCAAAAATAAGTGAATGACCTATTTTATTCAGTCTCTTTACTTATTTACTTTTTTTTATATGTTGTACATTTTAACTCTAAATCAATTCTACATTGTGTATTTGGGAGCCGATCATCATGGAACAAACTCAAGATGAGCGATATTAAAAGGATAGTTCTGCTAGTTATTTACTCATCCTCCACTTGTTCCAGACCTGTTTTTTTTTTAAATAAAGAAGATATACTGTAGAATGTTGGAAAAAAAAGCAGCCATTGACTTACATTATTACTTGGGATGTCAATGGCAGCTTTTTCCTCCAGCATTCTTCAAAATATCTTGTAACAGTAAAATCTGTTACCCTTCGATGTGACACCCATTATTGAAAATGCACTTATATTACTTGTATAGCACTTTTTACAATAATTATCATTCCAAAAGCAACTAGATAAAAGCTATAATTACATAATTTAATTTCTGACAATAAAAGGCCAAAAAAATAAAACATAGTATATAAGCTGTGTAAAGGCTTGGCAGTATAAAAACATCGTAATCCTGCTGTTATAGTGTTTTCATCAAACAAACCATGAAAAAAAAAGTCAATTTCATACAAAACAAATTACATGATACAATTCAAACATTAAACATTGCTGTTTTTTGTATATTAAGTTGTTTTTTGCAATGTTTGTGTGTCATCATATCAATACACAACATTTAGAGTGTAGTTCAGTAAAAATGTAAAAAAGTGCAAGAACTAATAAAGTTAGTGCCTTCAAACTACATAAATTACAATTTCTACTTAAAATAAGTTTAACAAAAAAACATTACCCATGTTAAAATACAAATTCAACCACAAATACGCCTAATAACGCCTATACATCATCCCTGCAGTCATATTAGAAGATGCAAAACTAGTATTTCAGCATTCCTAATGTGTCAAGACTTATCCTTTCCATAACCACCCTATACGGTATAATGGGTTACATTCACTTCTAGCACACTAGAATTACCTAGTAGCATTCAGTGCAGATGGGTTTTGCTGAGTAAACTCAAATGTGGTAACTCTTCATGTTATTAGTACTTTTACTACTGGTGTACTTCGCCCAGCACTGTTCCTTTTACACTAATACTGCCAGATCAATCACTTTTAATCTTATTTAGTTTAAAAGACAACTATTAAGACGCGAAATCACTAGACATACAATAGACATCTTAAAAATCAAGTTTATTTCTTGAAATTTGTCCAAGACACTGGAGGAATGTGTATCCAGTGTTTCCAGAAAGAGTCGTGTTACAGTTTACCTGTGTATGTTTTGAGGTATAGTTTAATCACTATTAAAGCCACTCTTAAATATCTAACACGATGGGAGGAAGTCTCCTTAAAAGCAGTACAGGGAGAGGAAAAAAAACAAACAAATTAAAAGAATAAAAATGTCACCAAGACTTGCCGCTAACAGATTTCAAAATGGACAAGCTTACAATCATAAAGAAATCCCTTTTCATCTCACCGTGAAGCCATGCAACACAAAGCACAGGTGACACTAGGGGGAGAAAAGGAAATCATCTAGGAACACTAACCAAAAGAAGTAAAAATCAACCAAAAATGTTTATTTTGAAAGCATTTTTAGAGAGCTCTGAGCCTAGATGTGATAGACACAGCCATGATGTAAAATACAACCATACAATACATTAGATTCAAAAAGGTACCAAAAAGTACAGTAAAAAAATAACACTTCCATTTCTGGAAATGTAAAAAGGACACAAAACACGAAAATAAAACAAAAACAAAAAACAAAAGTAAAATAAAACAAATGTGAAAAGTGACATTTGCGCCCCCCCAGTTCCTTTTGTTTTCTGTACAAAATGAAGCAGAAGTCCAGATTCTGCCAACTTCCAAAAAGTAAAAGATCCCAACGTTCACTGCGACCAGACCGCTGGTTCCTGCTCGGCAGCTTTACGACCTGAAACGAAAAACGCGACAAGTTTAGTCACAAAGATCAACATGTAAAAGATGTAAAAATAAAAAGATGAAGTGAAGAGATGGGGCCTATCATGATCTACCGCTACAACCCTATCGGATCACGAAAAAAAAACCCACCCCGTTAGAATTTGGCCAAATTAAAAAAATAAAATGGAGATGAATTGGGGACAAAAATGGAGCAACACAACCAAATTAACCTTACCATGAGTTGTGGGAAAAAAAAGATAAAGGAGGAGTCATACCTGCACTACACATGATCAGTATGGCTTGTAGCTACTCTGGTGAGCCCCACGTCTTGGAGTTTTTCCATAGCTTGTATTGCCCTGGTCTAGGGGGGTAAGAGAAGAGCAGAGAAAGGAACTTGAGTCCCTCGCATTCACAAGAACCCAACGGGGACGAGGGGGAAACCGCAAGGACAATCAGTGCTTACTGTAGTCATATCCGCCGTATCCGCCATAGTAGCCGCCCGAGTAGTCGTAGTTCCCGTAGCCGCCGTATCCTCCGTAGCCTTGCTGCCCGCCGTATCCGCCATAGCCTTGGTTTCCGTAGCCTTGATTCCAGTAGTTATTGTAGCCCTGGTTCCAGTTCTGACCCTGACCTAGAAAACAGACACGCAGAAAACAATGTAGAATTACTTCAGATCTGCCGGCATAACATTTATAAAGACTCGTGAATGTTAAATGGATTCATCAGATCGGAGATCAACCAATACATCAATAATCATTTAAAACGGACTGAACAGGAAGTTTTTGTATGTACTGGAAAGGAAATCAAAGTATTAGTCAATTTATTTTCAACTAGTTGAACTTGATTTATTAGGTGGCTTCAAGACAAAATGAATAAAATAATAATAAAACAATATTGGAGCTATTTCAGAACTTTAAGTACCAAAATTCTTAGTCTTCAAAAATCATGAAGAAAAACAGAAATGGTGATCTTGACCATCTTGAATATACATTTTTACGTTTTAAAGACTAGCATAATTTTCGAAGATCCTTCATTATATTATCCAGTATTTGAATGAGATGGATGAATAAATAGACAGAAAAAGATTACAAATATCACAAATTGTGACTATGGGAGCTTGGCTATTCAGATTAATTTTTGACAAGCGGTTATCTAGTGATTTACACCGTCAAAAGTTTGACTGGCAGACGAGACAGCCAAACAGGATAGAGGGAGAGATGGTACAAACCTCCACGCCCCCTTCCTCTTCCTCCTCCACCAAAGCGACCTCCATACTGCTGCTGCTGGTACACTTCCTTAGGCTGTGCAATCTTAATCTCACACTGCAAGAAAAAAAAAAAAGCCAAAAAGAACTCGTTTTATTATAAATTTATACCAAAATAAAAGTAATAATCTCTCATACTGTTGATGTTATACAATTTTAAGAGTATCATCAAATGATGAAGGCTTCAGGTCAACTCAAGATGGACAACGGAAACTCACAAGGCCTTCTTTTCCGCTTGTGTCCTTGGTTCCACTGACATTGTGATATTTCTTCTCCAGAATCTTCTTGACCGCCTCTTCTTCCTTGAAGGTAATGAAGACAAAGCCTCTCCTCTTGTTTGACTTGGGGTCCATTGGAAGCTCGATAGTCTCAATCTGTGGTTGGGAAGAAACCTTTGAGTTAATAAGTGTACAACAGCAACAAAAAAAAAATGGAACCAAGAGCTTAGGGACTTAAATGTAACATGTAAAATGAATACAATAAAAAATAAAGGAATGAAGCTCATAATACCTCGCCAAAGGCACCGAAATACTCGCGGATCCTCTCTTCTGTGGTTTCAGGGTTCAGTCCGCCAACAAAGATCTTCTTAACTGGCTCCTTTTTCATTGCCATTGCCTTCTTGGGGTCAATCTGTCGTCCATCCAGTCTGTGCTCCTTTTGTGCTAAAACCTGCGCAAAAATAGCAGATGTTAACTAACTACATCGGAAAACCAACAAAACCAGAGGTTTTCATGGACTCTGAAGCTCACCTTATCTACACCTGATGGCTCTTTGAAAAGAATGAACCCGAATCCCCTTGAACGTCCAGTGTTTGGGTCCATTTTAATGGTGCAGTCTGTCACCTCTCCAAATTTAGAGAAATAATCTTTAAGATCCTTTTTACTGGTGTCCCAGCTGAGGCCCCCGACGAACATTTTCCTGAGGAAATCAAGCGGAAAAAAACGGGATGAGACCGGGAGGGGGCGTGGTAGAGCACATTTCACCATTTCCCCGTTTCTTCAATGAAAAAATAAAAGCATGTCCTTTATACTTCTAAACAGAAACACCAATAAATCATAGGAATTTTAAAGCACACAAAATAAAAACAATTCTCATGAGGAAACAATTTAGTGGCTCATTTTAAGAGTCCTCTTTAGGTTCAATTCACCAACGCGCCCATCCCCCTACAAACGACACATGGCGCCAACAAAGACGCGGAGGAACAAAGGATTTAGTGACCGACTTTTTAGCACATTTATTTTTCGGACATACCCCGCATCTTCCTCTCCTTTGCTCGCATCAATTTGCCCGCCGTCCGCTCCATCGTCTCCGGCCGTCCCGTCCGCACCGGCGTTTCCTTGCGCCCCGGCCTGCGCATCCCCGTTGCCCTGATCGTACTGCCCGGCTCCGTTCAAATCATCCTCACCCTCGTGGCCGTTCAGTGAGGTTTCCATATACTGCTGCTCGGCGTCTGACATGGTGGTAGTTGAATGTGAAAACCTAAAAACTGCGGAAAATGCGAGGGAAATGGTTACGAAAGGAAGCGCCTTATGTAACGCAGACACCCCACCATTTTGAACAGCGGCTCCTACATTTTCATACGCAACAAGAATGTAAACATATCACGGTCTCAGTTTAGCAATACTGACCGTTTAGTTGCGTGAGATTAGATGTAAACGTTAACACGACGAAATATGTGCACTAAAAGTGCCAAAAATCGTTATTTTCTGTTTAAAACCTTACCGTAACAGCAGCAAGTGAAAAGTCTCCGTGGAACGCTTTCCGCGGTGTGGGCCCTTCCTTATTGCGCCGACAAGCGGTTGGTTTTATATTACTGGCTGGAAGATAAAAGAGTTTCAGTAACGGCGAATTTAATTGGATAACTTTGAACGCCTATCATTTTATAAGCCAATCAAACGCGTCTTGTAAACGTCACAGAAATCCTCCCCCCTAACGCGCTTCTTCTGAACCTTCGTGTCGAGTGGGGGAAGAAGCCTTTGTTCTTCTTTGGCTTATAAATGTGCTGTTGACCACTCGTGAATAATACAAATATGTCTATATAAGCAGTCCACAATAAAGATAATACAAGAAACAACCGGTTACATTAGAATTTTGAATACGTTACGTTAGCCTATTAGCAATGCAGAGAGGTTGTGGCTACATTCGCTATAACGTTAGGCCTTAATAATATTTGCATGCTCGATATCAATATATTATTTCATAGCTTAGTTTTTAACATCGTCTGTGAGTTGAACGATTGTTTATTTGCTTCTGAACTTTAAAGAATACACTAAAATGTATCTGAGGACGTTGGATAAGATAGTACTGTACAATGAAAATTAGCATTTCCCACTTTCATTTAAATGAGCTATATAAAGCTAACACACGTGCACATAACCGTTTAGAAACAACTCTTTAATGTTTTAAACAAGGCATTTTCAAACAGTATGAGGGGGAAAATACCAAAATAATTTAAAATATGAACACATTCTAGGTCAAATGCTTAAAATAAGGAAATCAGGCTGCCTCCTCTACTGCTGCTCCATCCAATACTTTGGGCTTGTTAGGGTTATTGTTCATCAGCCAGTCAGCAAGCCATGTCTGTAAAGACAAATGAAATAGATTTTTTTAAAGGCACGGCCTAGTTGTTCAGAAAATTAAATGCAGATCAGAATGACTTTCATTTGGACATCCCATGTCTTGCCATCCATCCAGGGTCAAGTGATTCTTATTGAGTGCTTTTTTGTTATTATTAATTTGTATCACCTATAATGGGACTACATTTACAACATAGATTCTTATCTTGGATCCTAGATAGAAATGGGAAATCTGTAAAAATGATCCCTCTTAGGACAATATTAAATGGTTTTATCTGAAGAGAGAAAAAAAATCCCTTACATTCTTTTTAAAACAAAGTCGAACAGGGATCAGTTATATGCAATGAACACATTTAAATAATTCATGTCTGATGAATTGTCACTTTGTCCAAGCTTTAGGAACAACAAATAATAACTTGACTTCTAGTTGATCATTTGGTCTCAGAAGTGGCTAATATGAAAGGCAAAGGCCTCTAGATTATGCCTATTTTACTGAAATAAAATATGATCAGGCCTTGATTTTTAATTATTTAATTAGGACAGTAAGGTCTAATTTTGCTTAAACAAAAGTCTTGTCACTTAACAGAAATAATGTACAGTATAGAATATAGAATAAATATTGTGTATGCCTCCCATGAGCTTAGAGGACTGCACCCATACATCTCTGCAATGACTCAAATCACTTATTAATAAAGTCATCTGGAACAGCAAAGAAAGCGTTATTGCAGACTCTTCAAGTTCTTCAAGATTCTTTGGATTATTATTCAATGCCTTCTCTTTCATCTTACCGCAGACATGCTCAATAATATTCATGTTGGGTGACTTGGCTGACCAATCCTGGAGCACCTTGAGCTTCTTTGGTTTCAGGAAATTTGATGTAGAGGCTGAAGTATAAGGAGCGCTCTCCTGCTGAAGAAATTTCCAAGAGTAGATGGCTGTTAATGTTGCCATCTACTCTGCAGATCTGTCACACATACTGAATGTAACCCCAAACCATGATTTTTCCTTCACCAAACTTGACTGATTTCTGTTAGAATCTTGGGTCCATGCGGGTTCTAATAGGTCTTCTGCAGTATATATGATGATTGGGATGCTGTTCAACAGATGATTCATTGGAAAAATCTACCTTTTGCCACTTTTCCAAATAATCAACTAGAAGTCAGGTTATTATTTGTGGCTCTTACAACTAGGATCGACAAGACTTTCGTCAGGTGGTCACTCAGGACACTTGAAAATAAACTTAGCATCCCTTCTTTAAAATTTGTATTCTTTTTTTTTGTGATGTTCCCAGAGGTGATGTTTAACAGAGGAAGTACATTTTTTTTTACAGTATTTCCCATTACATTTTTTCTTCCTGAGAAAGTCTTATGTTATATTAGTTTAGCTGGAATTAAAAAAAAAACTGCTAAGGTCAATATTATTAGCCCCTTTAAAAAATGATTGGCTACAGAACAAAGCACTGTTGTCTAACGACCTGCCTAATTACCATAACTTGCCTAGTAACCCAAGTTAAGCCTTTCATTGCAATTTAAATCTGAATACTAACATATTGTAAAATATCTAGTAAAATATCATGTGCTGTCATTATGACAAATATATATAAATATATATTAGAAATTAGTTATTAAAACTATTATGTTTAAAACATTTTTTAAAATAACAATAAACAGTACACATATTTTAAAAATAATTTCATAAGAGGGCAAATAATTTTGTATAAACTGTACAAAATAGAGAGAACAGAATGAATAAGTGTATTAGTAGTACAATTATAATTACCATGATTTATAATTATTTATTCATATCTGAAAGAATCTTTTAAATAACTTTTAATACAAAAAAAAAAAAACACTCACATAGGGGTCCTCTGGCTTTATCTTGCACAGCTCTGTCAGTCCAACGAGAAGTGTTGGGTTGATGAACCGACTTAGGTAATCTTTGGCAGCTTCTCCCATAGGAATGGGTTCAATCACAGCTGAAACAGATAGTTATACAAAATAATAATCAGATTTTTTTTTTACATGCTTTCAATTAATTAATCTCATTATATTTACTCACAATGGGGAAACATGAACCTGATCTCCCTCTCAGCCGCAGAGAAGGTTTCACTGCCGTGGACAGCATTCCTCAGGTCACACGTGCCAAACCTCGCTCTCAGACTTATATTCAGTTGAACACCCAGAAATATATGTTACAAAAAATGTTATTGTTACATTAAAATAATTTTAAGATCAAATAAATTAGCATTACATATACAGTTGAAGTCAAAATGATTAGCCCTCCAGTGACTTTTTTTTCTTTTTCAAATATTTACCAAAAGATGTTTAACAGGGCAAAGGATTTTTTTCACAGTATTTCCTATAAAAAAAAATTTGTTTCTTTAGGGGAATGTCTTATTTGTTTTATTTTGGCTAGAATAAAACATGTTTTAATATATATATATATATATATTTTAAAAGGTCCATATTGTTAACCTACTTAAGTAATAGTTTTTTCGATTGACCACAGCAGTGGTACCCAAAATGGGGGTCAGGAACCCTCCCCGGGGGGTCACGAGACAATTAGAAGGGGTCGCTTGGTGATTTGCAAAAATTTTATTCATTTAATTAAACTATTATAATGACCAAAATCCAAATTATAGTCAACAGTTGCATAAAAAAACAACATGCAAATATAAAAGCCATCAGCATTTCGTTTTTTATTTTTTCCCATTAGATTGTGACCCCTGGGGAGATTATGTTATATTAAAGACACAGCAATAGCTTCAGATGCAGCAGATTGATTTCATGGCACCAGGTTAAACTTTCTGACACCTTTACAGCACTCACGTACGTTAAAAACAAACACAAGTCTCACTGTGGCATTCTCAAAAATTAAATGAAGAATAGATTTGGGCCTATAAGTGTGTGCACGTTTGTACATTTATCACCACCTCAGAGGGTATTGGGAGTCGCGAGTCACTGGCATTGTTAATTTGGGGGTTGCGAGCTAAAAAGTTTAGGAACCCCTGGTCTACAGAACAAACCGTCAATATACAATGACATGCCTAATTTACCTAGTTATGCCTTTAAATGTCACTTTAATCTGAATACTAGTATCCTTAAAATATCTAATCAAATATTATTTACTGTCATCATGACAAAGATGAAAGAAATCAGCTATTAAAACTATTATGTTTAGAAATATGTGGAAATTTGGGCTAATAATTCTGACTTCAACTGTAGGTTGCAATGACAGAAATTAGGTTTGATTTATTTAAAGGGATAGTTTACACAAAAATGTATTTACTCTCTATTTGCTCAAGTGATTTTAAACCATTGTGAGATTTTGTCTTCTGTTGAACAACCTATAATAGTATGAAGCAGGGAAGCAAAATAAATTAAAAAAATTATCATCTTGATATACAATATTCATATCGCAGACTTCTTGACTTTTTTTATGAATACATCGAAATGAAAATTATGAAATCAAGACGAAAATCTTTATACCCGCCTACCGAGTAGATGCTATTCTGCTATTGGCTAAAAAAGGTGAACCTAGAGCTAAAAATAAATTTTAATGATGTAAGTAGAGACAAGAGGAAAATGACAACAGCCACTAAGAGTTAGAATATCTGCTCAAGTTTTCATTCATTCATTCATTCATAGTCTAAATATTTACACCTCGACAGCTTTTTAGGTCAGAAAAGTTTATTAGACCAGAAAAATATCCATTACTGCCTGTTTATTTTAGTATGATCATTACATAAACAAATATAAATGTAACCCACGCCGATCTGGGATCGAACCAGCGATTCTTTGCATGGGAGTGCACTGCTCTAACAAGTAGGCTAAAGACCATGACCACTCTGTTCCTAAAGTACCATTTGAGGTTAAAGAAGTAAGGTTTACCTGCACAGCACTTTGCTAGCTGGCTTCCGTTACACTCACCCCCTATACCTCACTCCCATCCCGGACGAGCCCCCACATGTAATCCCACCGGTCCTCCTGCACCCAACCCAGTCTGGGCTAGAATCGAACCGGTTTGCATGGGAGTCGATTGTTCTACAAGGAGGCTAAAGACCATGGTCTCTAGTGTCTGTTGCTAGAGAATCTTTTGATATCCGAGGAGCGAGGTTTACAAGCACAGCTGGCCTCTATTACACTTGGGGGCTCATCCAAGATGGGAGTGAGGTTTAGGGGGGTAAGTGTAACAGAGGACAGCTAGCGAACCTCACTCCCTGACCTCTAAAGTTGCTCTTGCGACAGTTGTAACCACAGCTTAATTTGTAAATTGCAAGGTACCGGAACAGATCGGGGTAACGGACCTGGCATGTTACCGTAGGATGAAGAGGTGTCGTGGATGAAAATGGACAGCAGGGGGCGTTCGATGGGAGAGGGGTGTCGCAGACGAAGGACAAAAGTTAAGAGGAGGGGGTTGTCACTGACTAAAGTGAAGAGGGTTGGGGAGTTGCGAAAGAAAGTGAAAGTGAACGGCGGATGGGGAGGAGGGTGGTTGAAGAGGGGGTCGGTAAAACCAGGTGAAAATCAGGACATCAGATTTCAGAGGTGCTGGATCCGGAAGCGGCATGTTCCGGCACATATTAAGCCCTGGTTGTAAGCCACCGGTCCTCCTGCACCCAACCTAGTCTAAGCTGGGATCGAACTGGCAATTGTTTGCATGGGAGGCGGTTGCGTCAAAAGATGCTCTAGCAATTGACGCTGAAGTCCATTGTTTTTAGCCTGCTTGCTAGAGCATCTTTTGACGTCAGAGGAGAGAGGTTTACATGCTAACCTCTATTGTTAAACAATGACTGTTAAATATGTTGTATAATCCGGGTTAAACAAGCTGGCCTCTGTTACACTTAGGGGATCATCCAAGATGGGAGTGAGGGAGAGTGTGGGGAGTTGGATGGTACAGGGGTGCCGTGGATGAAGGTGAAGAGCGTGGGTTTGTCACTGACAAAAGTGAAGAGGGTTGGTAAGCCGCGAAAGAAAGTGAAATGCGGATGAGGGAGGAGTATGGTTGATGAGGGGGATTGGTAAAATCAGAAGAAAATAGGGAAATTCAGATTTCCGAGGTGCGGGATCCAGATGCGGCGTGTTCCGGCACGGATAAACCCTGGTTGTAACCCACCGGTCCTCCTGCATCCAACCCAGTCTAAGCTGGGATCGAACCGGCGATTGTTTGCATGGGAGTTGGTTGCTCTAACATAGCCTCTAGCGTCTCTTGCTAGAGCATCTTTTGAGGTGAGAGGAGTGAGGTTTACCTGCATAGCACTTTGCTAGCTGGCCATCATTACACTCACCCCCTAAACGTCACTTCCATCCCGGACGAGCCCCCACTTGTAACCTACCGGTTCTACCCAACCCAGTCTGAGCTGGGATCGAACTGCCGATTCTTTGCATGGGAGTCGGTTGCTCTAACAAGGAGGATTAAAAACCATGGCCCCTGGTGTCTTTTGCTAGAGCATCTTTTCAGGTCAGAGGAGTGACATTTACATGCATAGGACTTCGCTAGCTGGCCTTCGTTACACTTGTGGGCTCATCCAAGATGGGGGTATCGCAATACTCAACAGAACATTGCATATTTTCCAAATCCAGCCCTATTAATATGAAAAAAGCTGCAAGTCTTTGAGAATCGTTGACTCCCATAAAAACAAATACAACAGAGGTCAGTAGTTACAAGCTTTCAGCTGACTTCAAAACAACCTTTTGTGGTTATTACCAGAATAAAGGAAGTAAAAGTAAATGACAGCATTTTCACTTTTGTGTTAACTAACCCCTTTAAGACTTACAATAAAATGCTTTAAAATTCAAACTAATTTCCATTTATTTGAGCAGCAGTTTGAAAGAAACAGGAAATAGTACACTATGACAGCTGTCACTACAGTAAATTAGAAAAGATAAGTCAGTCAGTTTGTTAATAAAGCACCTGCGCAGATTCATTCAGTGATGTTCATTACCAGTCAGGATGCGTCTCTCTGGCCTTTATGCTGCTGACTGGTCCCATTATGGCTTTCCAGGTGGCAATGGCCTGGTCTCGGGCCAGCGCTAGAGCCACCACCGGCCCTGAGCTCATGAAGGCAGTCAGATGGGGGAAATGCAGCTTCCCATAATGCTCAGCGTAGAAATCACTGCATTGCTCTGGACTCAGCTGAAGCCGTCTTTTCTGGTAAATGAAAATAACACAAAGTGAATGTAATATTTTTGCTAAAGCATCTGCAATATTCTGATAACAACAGCATAATGTTATTCTATATTTATGTGCTTTTAACAATATAAAAGCACATTTTCTAAACCTTGTTTTTACATAATATACTGTAGCAGCTTATGAAATGGTTTAAATCAGTGATTATACCATTAGGGGAGCATCTAGACTTTAGAAAATACATAAGTGGCGATTTCTTAGTCTAAATAAGCCTCACTGTAAATTTGCCTAAAAACTTGAGTTGAATTAACATTATGAATCGTTTGAACTTGTATTACATTAAACTGACTTATATCTTGTTTAACTTAAAACTTTAAGTAAGAAACAATAAGTTAGTTTAATAAGCTATAGTTAAAAACATGACGTCATGACTTATTTAATTTTTTATTTATGCAGAGGCAAAATCATTAGCATATTAAAATGAGTTTGATTATACTTGCCTGCAAAATCGTAAAACCAGATTGAAGAATAATATCCTCAATTTCGTCGGTTTTGTGGATAGCATCAGGTTTGATTAAAGCCAAAGTTCTCTCCACAAAGATGCGAGGCTCGGGCATCAGTTTCTGGGGATCGTCGTTCTCCATTAACGTTTCTTTCATCAGTCAATTTACACGCTTTTCCAACTCTTAAAAGGTAGTTTAATCTTCCGTTAATTGCCAAGTTAATGTGCTGCAAACCATTAGGTGAAAAAAATGAAATCACCCACATTGGAAGCACAATTAACAGTTTTACTTAGCAATAACACACACAGGAGTCTCCATCATGTCGCTTCTTCTGCCAGTCTGGTTTGTTAGCGTCGTTACTAGGTTACAGTCCATGGTCACGACATACAATTGCGCCATCTAGTGGCCTCAAATACATCTACTTTTCTCCTTGGCAAAGTTAACGTTTTAGGGGTGGCGCAGTGGGTAGCGCCTCACAGCAAGAAGGTCGCTGGTTCGAGCCTCAGCTGGATCAGTGTGGAGTTTTCATGTTCACCTCGTGATCTTGTGGGTTTCCTCCGAGTGCTCCGGTTTCCCCGACAAGTCTAAAGACATGCGCTATAGGTGAATTGGGTAAGCTAAAACGGTCTGTGTGTGTGATTATGTATGGATGTTGGGTTGCAGCTGGAAGAGCATCCGCTGAGTAAAACATGCTGGATAAGATGGCGGTTAATTTCACTGTGGCGACCCCTGATGAATGAAGGGACTAAGCTGAAAAGAAAATGAATGAAAGGTAGACTACGTACAAATGTGGCTCAAGTTTACTACAAGCAGGTGATTTCAGCATGAGGCAACTTAAAAATAAAAAAAAAGCAACCTGGTGAAACTTTAAATGGGTGTTAAAAATGTCACCTGGTTTCTTTTTGTACTCAGTGCTAGGCATCCATTTTATTTATTTATTTTTTTTTACTTAACAATGGGTTGCAGAATCCTGGAAAAGCAAAAAACAGCTCATTTGCAAGTCTTACAGAATGTATTTGTGTTCAGTGTACCACCAGGAACCATGGATTGTATTTTGCCTGTACATATGGTTAACTTTACAATTCCCAGAAGCTGTTAACTTGCATCATATCACCAAAGATAAAAGGTTTTGGCCAAACATCTTTAATATTTTACCATAAAAAAAACGGAGTAAATTAGCAGCAAATTCTCAAAGACATCTTTAAAGTTGAATAGCAAAGAAATAAAAACTCGACTTTATCACTTTTTAAAAGGATTTTATTCAGACATTAGAAAAGGCTTTATCTGGTTCCGATGGTCACCTGCCACACTCTGATCAGGTTGTCAGTGTAGCCAGCAAACAGAGTCTGTGATGAGGAAATAAAAATAGATAAATAATCAGGCATTGCTTTAGAAGCACCTCACTTCTGATTTAAGCACATTACTGTCCCCTCATAATTGCAGGAGTGTCACCATAAGGATTCAGATGTTTATGTGATTGAGAATAATCAATGGGGGATGAGAGTACAAGAACAAATTTAAGGACTACTCCAGATGTAGAATAAAGTTTGCAGTGAAACGCACCTGTCCATCAGCAGACCAGGCCAGAGATGTGCACTGAGGCGGCTCAGCTTTGCTGTTGGTGGTAATGATGTCCTGCCTCAGCTCATCAACAATGATCTTGCCCTCCAGATCCTATTGAGAAACAGACTCAAGTCAGCTTTGCAATAAGAGCATTAAGATTCCACACACTTGAGACAGTAGTTCTCAGAAACAGCCTCTTTTATCATCACAGAGTTACAGAAGGCATTAAGTTCCATCACTGAACACTTGTGTATCACTTTAAACAGTTATTAGTTTGCCCATAAATGTAGTCATTTACTTGTTTCAAACATCTACGAGTTTATTTCTTCTAATCAACAATCTATTTTAAAGTTAAAAACCTGTAGCTATTGACTTCAATACTATGCGTTTATCCTACTATGGAAGTGAATGGTTACAGGTTTTCTGCTTTCTTCAAAAACTTGTCAATTAAAAGAAAACTCGGGTTAAAAAATGGTTTCAGCTTTTTGAAAAGTTTATTTTTTATTTTTTACATTCATTAATTTATTTTAAAGTTGAACGAAAGTAGAAAACCTGTAACCATTCACTTTCATTATTTGTTTGGCCTACTATGGACTTGATTGGTTACAGGTTTTCTGCTTCTAGCTTTTTTCAAAAAGCTGAAACCATTTTTTTAACCCGTTTTTTTTTTTTATTGACCAAAGATTTTGAAGAAAGCAGAAAACCTGTAACCATTGACTTCCATAGTATTTGTTTTGCCTATGGAAGCCAATGGTTACAGATTTCTTGTCAAAATAAGCTGAAAAAAAAAAAATCTAAAAACCTGTAACCATTTACTTCCAAAGTATTAGTTTTGTCTACTATGGAAGTTAATGGTTACAGGTTTTTAGCTTTCTTCAAAACAATGGTTACAGGTTTTTAGCTTTCTTCTAAATAAGATGAATAAATCAATTTAACCTTAGTTTCCTTTTTCTCTTGAACAAAAAGATGTTTTGAAAAAAGGTAAAAACCAGTAACCATTCACTTAGTGTGTTTTGCCTACCATGAAAGTGAATGGTTACAGGTTATCAGCTTTCTTCAAAACATTGTTCAAGGAAAAAAAAGTGTTTTTTTTGTTTATTCAGTTTATTTTGAATTGAGCTAAAAACCTGTAACCATTGACTCTTATTGTATTTTTTACTACTATGAAAGTGAGCCGTTACAGGTTTGCAGCTTTCTTCAAAACATTTTTTGCTCAAGAGAAAAAAAGAAAGAGGAAGGGAGGTTTGGACCCACTCAAGTTAAGTTTCCTATTTGGGGTGAACTAAACCTTAAAAATACAAACTCGACAAACACTTTGCTTGTAGTAATATTCACTAAACAAAAATAATTCATATATATACTCACCCAGATCTTGATGCTGGGTCCAGTGGCAGCGCAAAGCCAGTAGCGGTTGGGGCTGAAGCACAGGGCGTTGATGGTGTCACCACCGTCCAGCGTGTAAAGGTGCTTGCCCTCATTCAGGTCCCACAGCATGGCCTGTCCATCCTAAAATACGAGAACAGGAGTAATTAGTACGTTTCTGAAAAGCAGTCATCTTGCTAATGGAGTAGTGCGTTCAGAAACAGCCTCTGTTATAATCACATGAATTCAGACAGCATTATGTTTTCCATCATTTTTGTTCGCATCTTGTTCATCTGTTAAAGGAACTCCACTTTTTGGGATCATTTTACAACCCTAGAGTTACACAGTTGAGGTTGACCATTTTAAATATATTCATCTGATCTTTATTCACCTTAGCATAAATCATTGAATCGGATTAGACCATTAGCATCTTGCTCATATACACAAGTTTAAATACTTTTCCCATTTAAAGTTAGACTACTCAGTGGTTCCATCCTGTACAAACAATGACAGAAAATGATATTACGCAGCACTCTTACCTTGCTGGCGACTATTTTCAGGTGCTACATAATATCATTGCAACTGCTACAGTCATGGTACGGCAGCAAAGATCCTTGATTATTAGGATGGAATTAGGTTAATTTCTGGCTTTATCAGTCTAGAAAACAGCAACTTTTCATTTTTGACTTTGTTTTCAGTACATGTAACAACAGGAAATAAAATGATCAACTTTTTTTTTAATGAGATGCTAATGGTCTAATCAGATTCAATGAGTTATGCTAAGCTAAGCTAAAAGTGCTTCCGCCAGAACAGGAGATCACAATGAAAAATGGTAAAACTTAACTCTAGGGAAGCTTATTTTAAAAAAAAATGGAGTGATCCTTTAACTTCACTAGAGAAAACCACATCTGAAAAGATTACCTTTCCACCGGAGGCACACAGAGATCCATCAGGAGACACGGTAACTGTGTTCAGGTACCCGGTGTGGCCAATGTGGTTGGTCTTCAGCTTGCAGTTAGCCAAATTCCATACCTAAAACACATGCATTAGCAAATGATCACCCGATGTAGGAAGCAGTACAAATTGAAGTTGAACTTGGTTCGAATCCGTTACCCATCATAATTGCAGGACTTGTCAACAGAGCTCAAGAGCTCAGAGGAAATTTGTCTTATTTAAAATCACAGGGTAAAATTACAAAAGGAGCAAATCAAACATTCTAGATTTAGCCTCACCTTGACCATTTTATCCCACCCGCAGGACACAATGATGGGGTTGCTGCTGTTGGGAGAGAAGCGCACACAGGACACCCACTCAGTGTGGCTGTCATCCTGGAGACAAACAAAAAGGCTATCAGAACAGCACAAACAACATTGTGGATATCTGTAAAAGTTTTAATTGAAGGCATGCAGGAATTGACACCAAGACAATCATATACTAAACAGAAATAAGTTTGCATTAGAAACCTTCATGCATCAAAAATAAAACCTCTTAAGTTTGACACAGGCCCAATTATTACTTCTGATAGATCTTACAACTAGAACACTCATAAAACTGAATTGAACTCAATTTTGTTACCTGCAGGAACCTTTCTGGTTAAACTTAGATGACCCAAAAATGAAAAGTACATCATTTATTCTCCCTTGTGTGGTTTTAAACCTTCAAGAGTTTCATAAATTATATTGAAGAATTCTGGCACCAATCAGCTTCCATAGTAAAAAAGAAAATTGCCATTGAATTTAACGAAGTAGCAGCAATCAGCATTCTTCTAAATATCATCTTTTGCATTTAAGTTATCAATTTTTGAAGGGTGAGGAAATGGCAGATTTTTATCTATTTCCGGATGAACTATTCCTTTATCTTCAAATTGTTAAAGTCTAGTTCTGCCAACTCCCTCTGAGAGAGTCTACCTGGATGGTGTACTTGCAGACTCCCAGAGTGTTCCACAGCTTGATGGTCTTGTCTCTGGATCCAGACACGATCTGACGGTTGTCAGCAGAGAAAGCCACGCTCAGAACATCTTTGGTGTGCCCAACAAAGCGGCGGGTGGTAGTGCCACTGCGTTAAACAAATGCATTCAAATCAGACCAATCTGATATTACGACAAATATTTTTCTTCACCACAGAGAATATATGAAGTATTGCTTCCCAAATCTGTTCCTGCAGGCACAGCAACACACTTTCCAAGTGTGCCATATCAGATCCATTCATTTCAGGATTTGAGCCTCTTCTAATGTTCTGATGAGTTGATTCAGGTGTTTTCCTTAAACCTCAGAATCAACCCATCAGAAATTAAAGGGTCAGACATTTAAAATATGTACTGTTGGTGTACCTGCAGAAACAGGGTTGGGAAACCCTGCAGTAGTCAACATTTGTGTGTGTGTGTGTGTATATATATATATATATATATATATATATA